AAAAAGATGAAGACGCTTAAATGCCTCCTGCCAAAAGTAAAGAGCGAATCTCAGTTGCAATGGCTCTGCTAAAACTTGAACATGCGGGATTTCAAGCGATAAAGGGCTGCCGGGCTGCTATTTACTGCGGTGGGAACAAGTTGCAGGATGAAATCCAGGCATTAAGGGACCTATTTTCCACTTCATCGTTTGCAAAGGAATCTACTGAAATGACTTTGAGGATCTTTAAACTGGAACTATGTGGAGGGAGAATGCAGTAAGTATCGCCTCTCCGGGGAGCCCGGATCGCGCCCAGCGCTGGGGCAGGGGCGCGGAGGCTCCGGGTGCCGCGCAGGGCTCCCGGCGGTGCCGGCTCCCGCCGRCCGGAGCTGGGCTCCGAGTTCGCAGCCAGCACCGAGGGCCAGTTMGGGAATGCCGGCTGCCTTCCCTGGCGCGCCAGCGTCCTACATAGAGCCGGGCTTGCTTGAAGARCTGTCTTCATGCATATTTACGGGGAATTGTGAATGAACAATCCAAAGCAATCGAGCTTTCCGTGGCGGGCTCTGCTAGAGTGTCTCCCTGGGTTTGTTTATGGTAAATTGGGAATGAAGCTGTTCTTCATCCCGCACCGCTCTAGCTGTGCTCCAGGTTATGCTTGTTTTGAACCTGCYAAGAAAACTCCTGCCCTTGATCTTGTGAATTAGTTTGCTCCTAGCTGCGCTTTCCAGGTTGGATGTCTCTTCCCTTAGAGATCAAACCCGTCCATTTCACTTGGGAGCAAGCGGGCAGTTGGGAGCCCAGGATTTTCCTGACCTGGATAAGATGAGRGATGTATCCCGGACGGCTATGGGCTCACGGAGCTGCTTTTAGCAAAAAGCTAAAATCCGTTTCCAAGTGAAGGGGGGGAACTTTGAGTGTAATCACTTATTTCCATTCACATATCTCATGGGATTGAAGTTTTTGTGTTTTTTTTTCTCCTGTCAAAACCTGACTAACGGCTTCTCGTCTCCTCTTCTCCCCCCGCTGTCCCGTTTCGTCCCCCCCGTGTCCAGCCCCCCCTTGCCTGTCTCCCTGTCCGCCTAGCTGCCCTCCCGGGATGCGATGTCGCTCGCCGGCTGCGGCGGGGATCACGCGTGCGGCCAGCGGCGCGGAGGCCGCCCCTGAGCCCGGGCAGCGAGAGGCGCGACATGCCCGCGGTCGCGACATGTCCTGCAGCGACACCGACAGCAGCACCGGCACCTCCGGCAGCCGCCGCCGCTCCGTCTCCTGAGGCGCTGGGTACGTGCGGGCCCGCGCCCGCAGGGGGGCGCCCTCGCGCCGCGGCCGGGCCGGAGGGGCGCGCTCCCGAGGCGCGCTCCCGGCGCTCAGTTCGGTGCGGGCGGGAGCGGTGCCCGCGGCGGGCGCGGAACGGGGGGGGCTCGGAGCGGCGATGAGCTTTCCTGGGCCTGGGGGCATTTAGCTTCGCTTTGCTGTGCTGTTCCACCGCGCTCCGTGCCGCTCCTGCTGTTGCGGCGGGGCAGTCAGGCGGCACAGGGGCACTGATGTGCAGTTAAACGCTGTGTCCAGTGTTCGTCTCCTTGTGTGCCCCGAAAGAGATGGTGATGCTGTGCAAGCCCGTGTCTGCCTGTGCGTTTCAGCTGTAGACTGTTCTGACTGAGGATGGAGATAGGGCTGGCAGGATGAGAGGGGGGATCTGAAAAATGCCACCCGTGATTGGACAGCCCCGCTTGTGTGTTCTGCGTGACGCTTTGCAACAAGCTTGGCTTTCCGTGGCRCAGGGACTCCCTTCTTGCAGCTAGCAGAGAGCCAGTTATGGGGGTGGAAATCCCTGGGGGCACAGAAACGGGGAGATCTTGCAGAGTCAGACCTGCTCTCCTTCTCCCTCCTTCAGATAGTTCAGATCCCTTCTGTGGCTCATCTCTCTCCCCGTCCTACTCCGTCTATAATCAGCCCCCTACAGAGATTCAGTGAAGACATGAGGTAACCAATGCAGTGATGCTCATTTATGGAACACCCTCCCCTTCAACACTAGGGACAACTTTGTGTCCGAGATCAGCAGTTCTGAGATGCTCAARTTCTGAATGCTGCATGAGAGGAGGGAAAAGAATTAAGACAGAACATTGTGCTTCTGAATCTGTTCCAGAAATGCTGKAGGATTCCTTGAGCAGCAGCTGCCTAGGAGAGATCTTCAGAAATAAACCAGCATGGGTTTGGGATGCTGTGAGATGTGTGGAGTACGTGGACTGGGGTTTCCAGCAGAYCTCTAGCTCACTTCTCTCATTTTGAGCTAAAGTATCTCTCCGTGTTGTACCTGTACCGTGACTAAAGTTTAAATAGATGTCCAGGATGAAGGAAAATAGATTTGTTTTACCTKTTTTTTAGTACAGCAAGGTTAAAGAGAAGGACGATAATGTCTTTTTTTTTTAATGATGTCAATAATTTTAATTTTGTTGGCTATCCAGGAAGAATGTTAATGGGTCTTTTCTCTCAACCTCTACATTTTTTGCCTTGCTTGTGGGAGACCAGCTGTAATACCGTCATTATCAAGCCAAGTTTCTGATGGGATGTGAGAGGCTTCAATGGGAACTAAGGTGAAGGATGCATTATAAAAAGCTGCTAAAGTTTGCATTATGCCAAGAAGCTTTCTGTTTAAAACTTTCATTGAAGATATACAGTATATATTTTTTTTCTCTATGTTCTTATACAATGTGATCGCTTTTACAGGGGATAAAGCTGGCAAAGATGAGGAAAATTGGCTGTGCTCTCCTGGTACTCCAAGCTCTTCTGGCGCCTTTGGATCTTGTTCGTGGAGCAGAGAAAAATTAYCCCATCCTGAACATTGCAGTGATTCTGGGAAGGACCAAGCAGATAACAGAGAGAGATATCAGAGCTCTCTGGACCAGGGAAATGGCAGCAGACCTGACTGTTGATATCAATGTAGTGACCCTTCTTGTGAACCAGACTGACCCTAAGAGCATCATAACACATGTTTGTGACTTGATGTCAGGCACCAAGATCCATGGAGTGGTTTTTGGAGATGACACTGATCAGGAGGCAGTAGCTCAGATTTTGGATTTTATTTCATCTCAGACTTCTATTCCAATTCTTGGAATTCATGGTGGGGCCTCCATGATCATGGCAGATAAGGTAGGAAAATGTATTAAGAGCTCTTGTTTTAATGTACTTCATTGTGTTGGTCTCTATCATAAATACTTGCTATGAGCAGTTCAAAAAAGATGCTCTTAATTGTCTCTCTGTACTTAAAAGAAAAATAGACATAAYGGTGCCTTTGTTTATGGCTAATCCAATATTCAAAAATATTTTGGGGTTCATGCCTGAACTCAACTTCCTAACACTATAAAAGCAGCCCTTAYGAGATTTTACTTTCCAGCACATTGAATGATGGTCAGTTAAAARATTTTAGTAGCTAATATGACAAATACATGTAAGAATAACCTCAAAATGTTAGTATTATAAAATGATTTTGAGGATAAGATATAAAATTATAAGCAGATATTCTGTGGTGCTTATCGGAAATAGCAGACAATAGACCTGAATGTATTTGTGGAAAACAGTTAGGACAGTTACAAACCAGACTTTAGTGATCCACTAAAWCTATAAATTAAGTACTTGAACCAAGTGCATTCCATAGATTTACTCAATCAGATTTTTGCTAACTGGATACTTCTACTTTCCTATGATAGTTCATGAAAATCCATTAAGCAGTTGTCTGAAATCTGGAGATAATGACAAATAGTTTTGTTGGAAAACATCTATTTATGTAATCTGTTGTGAGACTGGAAGAGTAAAAGTGGCTCGTGTGTCAAGTTCTTTAATGTTGTAACAATTTTTAGAAACTCCTTGCTGGCACTGCAGCGTTGATGTTGTGAGGTGAAACAAGCACTTAGTGCAGGGCTGAGCTCTCCGATGGGGACTCTGCCTCGCCTGAAAGTCAGAGGCGCTCCCACTGTGGTGTAAYGGAGGAGAGCTCAAAGAGGGAGTGCAGATGTGGGAAGTCAACTGGTTTGCCAGCACATGAGGATTTTTTATGTTAATTGTAACTTATTTCCTGTCACTTCCCTCCTTTAGGGTTTCTTATCCATTGACTGTATTGCTATTTCTTATGAGTGACTTTTGGATGGTAAAGGACTCTCTGAGTACAGCTGAAAAGGAAGTGGTCCAGATATATTGTTTTGTGAAATAAGGGGGGAAAAAGAAAAGTGWCAATGATTAGTTATAATTGAGGAATCAGCTTTGAGCTTTTGAAACTTTTTACCTCTGGAAAAGGTACTTTTTCCCCCATTGGGATAAGAGGTCTGCTTTTCTTGGTATTTTGAATTATCTTCCTTTAGAACTTGTCATACAAGGGGAGGACAGTAAGTGCTGAATTATGGCAGAGATTCTATAACAACGACTTTGACATCTTGATTTATACAGAAAGATCATTACAGTCAATGCGGCTATCTTAAATGCAATTGCAGTGACCAAGTTACAGAGGCAGTTATTTCATGTGCTTTTAAATTACAGTACAGGTTTCCTTGTCTTTATAAAGCTGGATTTATATGTCTTTAGTGCTCCTATTTGATACATATTTCACTTAACTGTCTCTGCCAGTGAAGAGAAYGCTTGAAGATCCGAGCCAGTGCTAAGTGATGAAGCACTGGCAGAAATCCTTACAGAATCAGCTTCACTCTCAGTAGCAGATGCAGGATGATACTGATACAGATCTATTTTTACTTTTATGTAAGAGCCTCTAGAAAATGAAACAGTCTTTTTTTTCTTTGTCTCAGTAAGTTACTACATTGTACGCTAATATTGCCATTATTATATCACTGTCTTTGATTTTAAGGCTTATCAAAGTTATATTAACAAACTTTTTGCTGACATTTAGCTTCTAAGATTTCCATTTGGGAAATCAAAATTGTCTTTTGTGTGTTAAAACAATCTAACAGAGCAGTCTTCAGTAATTTGAATTGGCTGAAGGAATTGTTTGTTCATATAACTAATATTGCCCTAATTTTTAACCCGACCTTTGCAACGTGCACTGTCTTGCAATGGGGTTTGGAACATGGCAGTCATGAGACTTGCATGTGTCACTCAATTAACCATTCATTTAGGATTGAATTCCTGGGAGAAGCTGAAATTCACAGTGCTGTCATAAAGGCAGGGGAGATGAAGGCTGAGGGAGAAGGATTGCAAATATCAAATCTGTCAAGTCCCTGGCAGGATTTTAGCTGACCGGTGAAACACACGGGTGTTGGCTGAATTGTGAAGATTATTAAAATCTCCTGTTCTGTCTCATGCATTGCGATGCCTGGTCCCACTCCTGCTTGTGGATGGAGTGCTCTGGCACTCTAAAAAACCCATTTCATTTATGTCCTTTATTGTATGAGGTTTGTGCCAGGTGGTTGTTAAGTGATGCTGAACTGAACTATGCTGAGAGTACAGCAATGAGAACTCATCTGTAATRCTCTATACTGCTCAAGACTTCACTGAATGACTCAGAGGAGATAAGCTACCATATTCTCTGTGGCTAATAAATTCCATGTCAATGTGAATCTTGACTGAAGAGCCATATCTGTGAAAAATAAGTTGTTCTGTGTTTCTAAAGATGAGGTTTGCGCAGATTTGCAGTGATTAATGCAGGACATAGATCTTTTGAAGCACTGAGTCCCCGAGTGAACATCTGGGGTGAGTGGTGTGTTGTCTAGACTGCCTYCTTCACCGGCCCAGCTCTGCTTCAGTTTGCTCTGAGTTTGCCTGCACCATCTGAGGAGAGATGTTGCATGATTCAGACAATGGAAATAGGCATGTGAAGCCAACACAATGTTTTCTGAACCTGACCGGTCTGTTTTCACCTGTCATCAGCCATCAAAACCCTACCAACAAACCAATGGGGCCYTCGGGGGTGTATGGCACTAGCTGATCCTAACTGTGCTGCAGAGATACCCTTTGAACAGCTCCACATGCTGTGCTCCAGCTGATTTTATCACCTGCTCTTGGCAGGGGCTCTCCTGCCAATGCACTGTTCCTTGGCTTTGGTCCCCACTTCTGCCACACACTTCAAACATATTCAGATGTGGGATAGTCTGCTGAAACAAGATGAGAATTGTCTGGGGCATCCGTGCCAGCCTGCTGTGCGTCAGCATCCCTTGGAGARTGCTGAAAACAGACTGGCTGTTTATTCATCTTGTATCTCTTGACATTTGAGACATCTCAACACAAACATTACTTAGGAACTGTTTTYTGACTTCAGCATTTGGTTTCAAACAGTTACCTTTGTTTCACCACATGCTGTAACAATAGTATTTGTGATACTTTTTATTAAAAACAATATCATGGTTAGTTCTGTGTCAATGCTAAAGGATTTGCTTCCTTCACATGTGGGAAAGAACGCCTCTATGTATTGTAAATACATCCAGGAATATTTAGTGCCTTTGAACCATACTGCTTTTGCCTGTTGCAAGCCTAAATCTTTCTAGGTGTCTTTCTGACAGACATAACTTGAAGCATATTATTGGTGTGGAAGCACTCACAATTATAACACATAGTCAAGGAGTGTTAAAGGTGAGGGTAATTTTCCGGAAGGGCTATCACAAAGTGATACTTCTCCAAACAGATCTGGAAATGTTATGCAAAATAAGTAACTGCTTTTCCGAAAGGTAAGTACTGTATATTATTGCATAATGATTCTCTAAGAGCCGTGGAGGTTAAACAGGAGCGCTGGAGGTTGTCTCACCCAGCCCKAGCTCAATGATGAGCTAATACTGAAATCAGATCATCCAGTCAAGTTTTGAATATCTCCATGGAAGTAGATACCACAGCCTCTCTGGGCAATCTGCTTCAGTAGTTAACCTCTCTCACCATGCAAATATTTTCATTTTATCTCATTAGAATTTCCCTTGATACCACAGGCTCTTGTTCKTTTAATGTGAATCTGAATCCAACTCTGTCTCAGTGCAGTTGTGGGCTGCAATTACACCGCTCCTTACCTGTCGCTTTCCTGGGGAAAAAGAGTTCCTTCAGCCCTTGCTTGCACTTGGAGTCCTTTGGAGTCTCTTGGACATACTGGCGTCTTGTCGGGAGAGATCCCAAACAGGACAGGGGAGTGCAGACAGGAGTCCTGCGAGGGGAATGGTCCCTCCCTGGAGCAGCTGCTGTGCTGTGCTGCCGCAGCTCCTCGGGCTGTGCCACCGGGAGGGAGCACTGCTGACTCATGTTCATCCCATCCCATGGGTCCCCTGCCCCGGAGCACTGCCGGCATGGTTCAKAAATAACGCATCTCATTGCTAATAAGCACTCAGTCAAACTGTACTTTGAAATCTCTTTCATGCTTGTGGTGGAGATTTTTCAGGTATTTCACTGAAATTCTTGCAGATGTTTGCGTTGCTTGTCATTTTCACCTCATTCAAGGTATAGCTGGAATTGCTTTGTTTTAGCTGCTCCGAGATGGGAAAAACTGCTGCATTTGTGCAAACCAGAGCTCCGAGTTCAGCCTTGCAGTTGTGATCAGAGCCCACCAGGCTCCTGGATCTGGTGCTGAGCATTTATGCTCTTTGTCCGTACATGACATTGTTCATGAGCTTAAAGTTCCTCCACACATCCTCCAGATTCTTTGCCAAATGTCTTCATAGTGCTGTGATTCTCTAAAAGACCAAAACGGTTCAAAAGCCACACTTAACTTTTGTACTCTGTGTAAGCGTGCTTCAACTCCTAAGGCTTTCAAAACTGTTTGATGGATGGCAGGGGGAAGYTGAATTTGTTTTTTCTTGTAGAATCTTTTCTGAAGGTCATACAACATGAAATATGCTCATTAATTCATATATCTGCCATATGTGTATGTAGATTTCTGCCCAGCTGCTTTAGTTAGCTCGTAAAAGCAGTTCTGTATTTTATCATAGAAAATTGAAAATTTAAGATTTTCTATAATAACTTTTCAATCCTGCCCTTACTGATGGCTGATTTTAGCATGTGCATGGCGCTCTGTGTCTGAACATGATATTCACTTCGAATTTGTTACTGCAAAAGACTGGAAGATTAAGCTGTAGGTTAATAAATACCGTAATGCAAAAATACCAGTATTCACAAAACTGGTTCAGGTCTAGACAGAGTAGCTTGCACTACTGCATAGTCTGTTGCACACAATG